AAAGGGTAATGTATGAGAGCCTCTTATGTTATTGTAAGTCATGAGGATGTTTTCACTGAGGTTAACATTCAATAAAGAACAAACGTGAACAGTATTTCGAGCGGTTACGACCTTGAGTCTGTTGTGCTGCATGCTCTGTCCTGCCTTTTTGCACTAAGTAGGATTTGTTTGTCAGCATAACCTGTAACTACAATATGAGTCCTCACAAATAAGATTGCGATCTTATAAAGTCATGGCTATAATGTCAATAGTTGTGCATTCTCTGAAATCATTGACGGAGCAGGTGTGACAGAGCCTTACACCATTACACCATTATAATCATTTAAAGAGGCGAGAGCATCAGGCAGCTTTTATTTATCGGCTCTAGGACCATTTATACAGTGAGATGATGGCAGCAATTGGCCTCTCGTCAGAGATTATTCCATAAACCCTTGAATATATGCAGTAGATTTAACCTCCATTGTTTGAGCAGATATTTTAGTTTGAGGTAATGTCATTACATATATGGTCTGTGACTGCAGAAAATCCAATTTGGATGCAAAACGTTCCACTAAAACATTTTTAAAAGGAAAATTCAATAGTTTTCCAATCTTTGGTAATACTGTAGAGTTGCACAATGATTGCTTTTATTTTACTCAAATTGTCTCTTAAATGTGTTTTTTAGGAAAAACGTACTAACCCACAATATATTCCAATATCATACAATCACATAAATCTAGTACTATGTTTTAGAAATATGAACATTTGTGCTTTTAGGGACATTTATACAAAAGTTTGGAGAAAAAAACGTAATATTCCTAAAATGCTTAATAACTGTTTATTTTCCTTCCACAAATTGTCTAATCAAATCAGATTATTGTATTGCTGAACCATCAATCCCAGGAAAACACAACAATAAACCCTGAAGCAAATTACAGCAATCAGTCGATTGGCGGAAATTCAATTTGCCGCTATTTTGATGATTGATTATAACTAATTTCAATAATAAAGAAAGCAAAAATGCCAAAATTCACTGAGTTTAACAATGATTTGCCTTTCTCTGATATGATTTTCTGTCATATATAATGGTTTTAATTTGACATCACCTACACATTTGTTCACTATTTATTTCCTCATTTATTCACTGTTGGTTACTCAGCCAATACATTTTGGAGGATTAATCAGTAATTAAAATAATCAGCTACAGCCTTACACCATTATACTAATTTAAATCCTGATGTCTAATCTCCTATCACGATATTAATATTCGACTCATATATCCGCCCACAGGCCTGCGTGCACGCTCGCAGCACAGTGTGTGTGACTGATGCAATGAGACATGATGGGAACCTGGGAGAGGTGGTCGGCCCAGAAAAGACACAAATAGTGCGTTTTACAAGTCAAATCCACCTGAATTATGTGTGTGTGCGTGTCTGAGTGGTTTAAGCAAATGGATTGCTTTTTTCTCCTCAGTGGTTAATGTAAATGATCTCTACATGGATACAAACCTCCCTACCTGTTTTCTCGTGCCCATCTACCATGCACAGCACACACACACACAACTAGGAGTCACCTTATTAAAATGTGAGTCCTCTGGCATTTCTACGTATAAATCAGTTCAAATCAATCATCCACAAGCAATACCTTCACACACACACTCAAGGTTACAACTCAGATATCCAGCCTGACAGAAGAGCCACTGAGACGTTTATGTCTCCTCTCATCCTCATCCTTGCCTCCTTAAGCTTTCTTCTTGTCTCCTTTCTCCTCTGCATCTCTGTTTTCTCTTCCTCACGGCCTCCTCCTCTGACCCAGTCCTCTCATCCCCTCTCTGAAATATTGATAATGGACTCTCTCTGGCTCTTTCCCTCCTCATGTTCCCATCTGTGGTGAATCAGCAAACCAAAGCAGCAAACATTCAAACCAAACCTCTGTGTGTGTGTGTGTGTGTGTGTGTGTGTGTGTGTGTGTGTGTGTGTGTGTGTGTGTGTGTGTGTGTGTGTGTGTGTGTGTGTGTGTGTGTGTGTGTGTGTGTGTACACCACTTTCCAATGCAGCACTAGACACGGCAATGAAGGAGTATGATGTGTGCACGTGTTATGAACATAATTCAGCCCACTTGTGACAAACCCCCTCACTGTGGGACAACCGGAGTCATTACGCCACTTTCTCCCTGGCTAATCACGTGACCATGAATATTTCACATCACCCATCATGTCTCACACTCCTTTACTACTGACCCAGCTTTAATGGCAGCCAGGGCCTGCATCAGATCCCTGTCTGTCCCTCGGTGATCAAATGGCCCCTGACAGCAGCAGCACAGGAGCACCTCTGCTGCCTTCTCAGGAATTGATCATGTGTGTAATGTGTGTGTGTGTGTGTGTGTGTGTGTGTGTGTGTGTGTGTGTGTGTGTGTGTGTGTGTGTGTGTGTGTGTGTGTGTGTGTGTGTGTGTGTGTGTGTGTGTGTGTGTGTGTGTGTGTGTGTGTGTGTGTGTGAGAGAGAGAGCGAAAGAGAGCGAAAGAGAGCGAAAGAGAGAGACATGAGGGGCGGGGTGCATCTTCATAGCCTATATCCATATCTTACCGTCAATCCTCCGGTTTCACTCCTCCTCCTCCGCCTCCTCCTCCTCGCTCACTGCGTCTCCCGCATCCCGTCTCTCCGCGCCCTCGTGCACCCACTGTACTCTCCTCCCTTTCTCGCGCTCCTCTCTGCCCGATGCATGAAAAAACTGAAATATTCAATGGGGGGGAAATAAATGGGCGATACCTGCTGCTGGGCTATACGGCAGTCATTAGCGTCCGACAACAACTGGGCGTCCTCGGCCTGGGATCAGTGTCCTGTGTGGGGCTCCGCTGGACCTCACACCCTCCCTCCCTCCCTCCCTTTCTCCGTCCTGTCGAAGCTCGATGTCTTCCCCGCTGTGCTGTGTGACTGTGCGTCACGTTGGTATCATAATTCCCACGGGTTTCATGCCCAGAGACGGTGCGGCTAAGGCCTTATAGCTCCGATTGGATGAGGGGGGAGTAGTAGAAAAATACGCGAAAACAATAATTAGGCGCAAATTAACACGCAGAGCTGCTCAAGTCTCCCTCCGTCGATTTCTACCGCGCGTCAAGCCCAGTCGTCGTATGTCACCGTTGATCATATTACATCCTTGCATTTAATGGGGAATAACGTCGACGCGATGACAGCCGCTTTGCATATCCTTGAAGAATCGTGATGAGGCGCAGCAGCACATCAGGACGGGGATGTTGGATGTTGGGCGTCTTTACAAAAAAAGAACAATAGGCAGGAATCGTGCTAGAAAATGGTGCCGTGATCATTAATAAAAAGACAACAGCTGGATAGGAGAGATGAGGTTTTCAGCTCCTGGCCTCGCCTTGCATCCGTCCTTCTCTCTTCTTCTTCTCTCTCTCTATCCGCTGGTCCGCTTGTTGCGCGTTCTGTACTCGAGAGCGCGCAACGCGTGTGTGTGCGCCTTTGTGTGCACACGTGTGTTTGTGTGTGCGTGTGCGGAGACAGTGAGAGGATGCTTCTTCGACTATATTAACAGGGGTTTGTCTGAGTGAGCAACAATAAGCTGCTGTGTAGGCAAAAGGAGAGGAATATGGACTAAACTGAAATGCTCATGTTTATTTAGGACGCTGTGTCAGATATATGTGCATCTACAATCTTCCTATGGCAACAACATGTAGCAAGGGGAGCTATTGTGTGCAGCCTGCGTGCATCCAGTGAGCAGACTTATAGAGCTTTGCTACTGACAGAACATGTGTCCTTAATGAAATACATTATCATGTCACTGCCATTTATGAAACATGTCAAATCAGGCAGAAACACCTTGATGACACCTGATGGCATTCTGGTTTCATCATCTGTCTCTGCAGAAACACGTTTAACCCATCTCCTCCTGCCATTATACGCCTACCACGCAAAAAGAAAAAGCACCGTTGATTTCTGTATTTGCATTCCAGGAGTAATGGCAGCATATATAGGCGCAGGTCACTCAGGGGATCTAGTTTCGCCCGTTCAGATAAAAACATCATTTATGCAGTTTACATGTGCAAGGAAGTGTGCAAAGACTAAACACAGTCCTTAGCATGGAGGAGGATGAAACATGTCCAATGAAATCAGTGATTATAAAAGCCCATTGCTCCATAGTTCCGCTCCACTGCCTCTGAATGGCTCTGATTGCTTCTCGTGCCGCACGTAAAGTGGAGCTAGACTTCATAAACACTCAAAGCACAACAGTCACTAACAAAATTATTTTTAATGGTTCTGAATAATTCATTGATTTCAGATAATACATGGTGTTTTGATTGATTGCTACAAATTATAATGTAAAAGACAAAAATAAAGTGCATTATGTTGCAGAGCTGTGTTGTGAAAATGGGGAGAGGGCTATAATAATCTCCTGAGTGTTATAAAAACAAGCTATAACAGGAAGACTTGGCTCAGACCTAACCTTGGCGCCGAACTAGATAACAAAATCCAGTATGGATGTAAAAAAAAAATTGTATTCAGTGATCTGTTAGTAATTTTATAAGTTAATCAATTAATCATCAATAAAATGTCCAATATTACTGTAAAATATCCATTTCAGTTTCTCATAGGTGATGTCTTTAACTGTTTTGTTTTGTCAGTCCAAAACCCAAAGATATTCAGGATTTTGAATTAAAAAGAGCAAACCTACAGTACGAGGCTGATCACCACGTTTTCTGCATAAAAAGTGTCTCACACTTATTTGATTATTAAAAGAGCTGGTGATTTATTTCTCTGTCAATCGACTAATCAATTTGTCATCTTATTTAATAAGCTCTGAAACAGTCAGTGACCTTGGTTTGATGTTTCTACCTCTTGGTTAAGAAGAGTAATGTCAGTATTTTTCTCACATTGAGCTGTGAAAAGGGTTTTGTTGGATTCAACAAAACTGTGTTGGCAGCATCAGTAAAAAACCTTGTGACAAACCTTTAATTAATACTTAACAAAACCCCCAATCTTGTCTTTTTGTTCTTGGTCTCCATCACCATGGTGAACCTCCTCCATCCTTACCATTCACATCCTCTTCTCCACCTCCACCCCACCCTCTGTCAAGGTGCTTTTTCTTGCTTTTCTTCTTCTCATCCTCCACCCTGTACTTCAGTCTCCTCATGGGGTCACTCCAGCTGCACATGGACTTCACTTCAAAGTCCTCGTTGATCAGGAAGTTCCTGTCGATGATCTCCGCCGCCTCCTGCCAGTTGCGGTAGCAGTCTGGTCCGAGGCAGAGAATCTCCTCCGCTGCGTTGGGGATGAGGATGGAGCAGTCGGGGCGCAGCACCACCACAGTGGGCAGCTCCTCCACATTAAACATGGCCTGCAGCTCTCTGTGGGCACACACACACATTGGCATACATATCATTTATACAGCAAGGCATATTTACATTACAATCATTTACCAGCAGGTTGTGCACACAACCAAGTGGCCAAACCCACGCACCTCCTGTAGGGGTCCTCGTAGGCCAGGAACAGGCACCTCTTGGGCAGCTCTTTCAGGAAGCTTTCTTGCTCTTCCTCCCTCTGGTCCAAACTGAAAAGAAAAGGAACAATGGAAAATAAGGAGGGGCGCGTTGAGAGTTTGGGATGAAGAGATAGATTCCAGGTCAGGAAACATATCCAAATGTTTAGACTTATGAGGACATTCGGTTCTCACAAAAATAGGAATATATCCTTATTGTTTCAAAGGGACGAAACAGGAATATATATGTACAATGTTAACCAAACACATGAATGCAGGTGCATATTTGAACACGGAACCTGCAAACAGAAAATGTTCATATTGAATTTGGGTAACGGGCATGGAGTGACCAAGTAACTGTCTTTTATGTCACATGTATGTCTCAAGTCTTTGCACTGAAATCTTCAAGTCAAGACTAACTAGTCCAAAGTCTTAACCAGATGTTTCGCCTCTTTTGCATACTGCTTTAGTTTTTTATTTGGCCATTATGTAGTTTTTGTATGCAAAAACAGATATGTTTGGTATAATTTTCAGCCAAATGCCGCTCAGTAACGTGACATTAGTTTGTGGTTCTGTCCCGCATCTTGATTGATTGCTGTCGAAATTAAGTGTCAACTTGCTAGGAATGCATATATAGCGTTAATGTTAGTTGATTCAAGAAATTAAGTGAAAGCAATTATTTCGGGGTACACTTTTTAAATAACTTGTTTCAATCCATATGCTTGGGGGAAGGTTTTAAGTCGAAAAGCTCAAGTCCAAGTGTAGTAACGTGTCATTGGTGTTTAAGCCAATTTGATCAAATCCAAGTCACGTGACTCGAGTCGACACCTAAGGGCTGTTGTTGAGCAGCTGATTAGGTTTAGGTGTTGGGAAATAAATGTGGTCCATTGCAAGTCCAATGCAAGTTTGAAGTGTCTCCGTGTGTGTTATACCTTATGTACACGAGAACAAGCTGAGCAGCTCGGTCGACATAGAATTCATCCGTCAACCGTTTGAAGAAGTTGCTGAGCGTGGGAGTAAACTGCTGGCATCTCTCACATGCTGCAGATGCAAAGAAGAGCATCAGGATGCGGTTCTGCAGGCGCATGACGATCTCTCTCTCTGTGTCAAGCTCATCCTGCTCCTTGTTGTTCTTCAACAGCACCCGGTCAACAAACAGGTCCACCATATTCACAGGAACGAGGACGGAGGCTAAGGAAAGCACAGGGGAGATATATCAAATGTTTTTATACACAATGGATTAACAGTAGAATCATCAGGAATGCACAACATAAAAGAAAACTAGTTGTGAGGGTTATCACAGCATGCATGCATATCAGTGCCAAACGTGAAGTAAAGCATAACAACTATAATCTTCCTTCAACAACAATATATGAAAAAGGTTTTGCCATTTGCAAAGGCTTATCTTTCATACAGTATGATTTGGTAAGTAAGAGGTATGTTTCCAGTCAGGCAGAATTACGAACAGCCCGTTAATCATATGAGCCCATCTTGCTAGCTGATAAATGGGATAATCCTCACAGTTGCTTACCTCTCACAAATATTATCTCCCCTTGAGGCCGCAAATCCAAAAAGTAAACAGCTTTCAATATATTGTGTTTTCTTTCTTTGCAACTCCTCCTGGTGTCGTATGTGAATCTGTTCCCAGCCTGTCAGTTTATATCTCGTCCACTCATTGACTCCATCTCCTTCACCTTGACGGCAGTAGCTGCTCACTCCCTCTCCCTTTGTCTCCCCCCTCCCCTGTCTGGGAGGGAGGGATTGAAAGACAAGGTGACAGAGGGACAAGTGACATGAAAAGCTCACTGTGATTGTGTGTGACGGCAGCAACTGAGCCGGAAAGCATAGAAATTACAGAATGAGAGTCGTGCTTGAAAAAATAAAAAGGCCTTAATGAGGTGAGAGCCAGTGAGACCTTTATTATCCAGTAACTAATGGAGGAGCAGAACCACAGGGAGAGTGTGGTTGGAGATAGTCTGATTTCCTCCACAGGGAAATACACAATAAAGCCATGAAGCACAGCAGAGACATCAAAACAGTTTGTGCTAGCAGAATAGAGTGTATTGTTTTTGGAAGTACAATACAACTTATACTTAGCAAAAAATATATTATAGCAAGATAAAATTATGCTCGAGAGACATGCCATACATAACATGGCAAAACAAATGCAAACACAATGCTTTACAAAGTATTGAATTCCTTTTTTTTACATCAGGCACCAGCACCTAAAATACATTTTAATGCGGCAGTCACTTGTTTTTAGCAGTGTCTCAAATTTGAAATACACCGTGAACACTAGGCCTACTTACTTGCGGCTGGTTACCAAAATGTACTGTCGCCTCAAATCAAACATAGCTGTTGTGCACTTCCTGTAAATGAAAGAAACATAGACTAGTTTAAGTGTATTCCAATGTTTACCAGAGCAACCAATTGGGTTTCCATAGCCTACATTATTAGACATAGGGGGATCCCCTGTCTTCAGCCAAGATGGCGACCACTTAGGATGAGATCTGTGAAATGTTCCAAAAACTACTTTTTGGTATTTTTGGTTAGATCAAGTATACTATGCTCTATCTTAAAAAAAACTGACCCCAGACAAGTGTTTGGAAGGAAATAGAATAATAGATGGTAAACTGTTTTGTTGCACTGTACAAATAGTACGTAGCCTACCCTCTTAGTTTCCAACACACAAAATAGACCCCTTTAAAATTAGGTGACTGTCAAAAGAATAGTAAACAAAATACCGGTACAAAAATGTGTTGATCAACTTATTACCTGAAAACAAATGCACATTTGAATTGGCTTGTAAAAAACACTATGACCGAAATCAAATCCCCTCAGATTTCTGTATTATTTCCCTTTAGCCAATATCTGATCTCTTAACCTCAGTGTGCACACACAACCAAATAGAAAAAGTTGCAGGCCCGAGATAGAGTCTTTATCTTCAGGAGAGGTATGCCACCGAGAGTCTGACTCACAGGGACGCCAGTCCTGTAGAAACAGTTCGTGATCAGACAGATTAAACCGTCAGGCAGTGGAAATGAAGTCCTCGTCCAAAAACACACCGAAAGTAGGCTAATTTCCGGCCAGCAGAAGCGTCTTTTGATGCAGCAGCTGTGCTCACGACGTTAGTTTAGCAGTTAGCACACACACAATCACACAATAACGGCCCGTCCACACAGCAGCGTTAAAAAATCTTGGAACGCTTCTGCCCATTCACTTTGAATGGGGTGACGTCACTTTGCCTCACTTTTCGCCGAACTGCATTGTGGGCAGCAGAGCGGAGATTTTCAGGATTTTCAGGATTCAAAGTTGAGCAATGTTCAACTTTTGAAGCTGAGGTGGAAGCGTCAGCCAATCAAATCCCGTGTATGCAAATCTGACAGTTCAAGCGCTAGCCAATCAAACCGCGTGTATGCTGGGAGAGACATACCGCAGGTCATTTCCTCATATTCCAAAACATGGAGGAGAAATTAGCGGTAGGGAATCACCCGGTGCTTTATGACCAGTCCCTATTTACCTACCGGGATACAAACCGGAGGAGCCAGGCATGGAGGGAGGTGGCAGAGACAGTGGTATGTTTTCGCCTGTTTGGGGAGTTTATATCCAGTTTACTTCGGGCTTTTTTGCTTGTATGTCGGGGGCGGGAGATTCATGTGATTGGTTGTTGGTGCCTTGCTCGCAAAAAATCCCCAAGCTTCAGATACGCCCACCTCCAAGATTTTTTTAACGCTGCTGTGTGGACGGGCCGTAACTCCGCCCTTATCACCTGAGATTAGGCAAGAAACACGCGTTACAGCTTCCGCTAAAGTGTATTGCTCATAACTAAATTATTCAACAGGCTAAACTATCCGCCTTTTTCTCACCATGTCTCTAACTTCTTATTCATTTCTCTCTAGCCTCCCGGATCTCTTGCTTTCTTTCTCCTGCCCTCTTCCGGACCTACGACCAATTACCACAGGTGTCACTACAGCAACCAATCAAACAGTGAGGGTGAAACCAAATGCTAAATCAGCGTTTTGTGTGTGGTTTAACCCACTTTCTGCCTTCAGTGTTCTTTAAAATGGTTCGTTTTAATTAAAAATGTTAAATTGAATTAGTTTTCCTCCAACTTTGAGCTATAAGGATTCATTTCTTTAACCGGGTCTGTAGCATCCGGATATTCATTGTGCACTTTCCCATACTTCTAATGAGTAGGCTACTTAGCAATTATCACCATTTGTTTATTGCCAACTTTTTTTTTACACAACCAGCAAACAAGGAACTACATCATCATTCATTTTTTTAAATTCTGTCCCTAGCCACCTGATCAAAGTAAGTCCAATATTCACTTTCTTTTAACTTTGCTTTGGACTACTACAACATAGGACATTGATTTGCCAGCCTATGCCCCCTTTGCTGTTCTTTTCTCAATTTCTAAAAGCTGCTGCATGGTGCATCTTGAAAGGAAGGGGATATGACTTGAGGTGCTTGGCAGAAATTCAAAAACAATGTACTTAAATGTGGGATTCCTGGGTTAAATGATTTACAGGTAGACATTTATAAAGACCATTAGGAGCAGGACCATTACTGTGTATATTTATGTTTTTGTTTGAAAACTGGGATTTGCTCTGACTGAGAACTCACCCTTTGTGCTAAAACATCCTGCAACAAAACACAGGAGCTGTTTTCAGTGTGCATTTTTAAAGAGTCCTTAATGAGCCTGTTAAGAGGCTGCAGTATCAGTCTCCAAAGGATTCATGATTGAGGAGGCTGGACTTGAATGTGTAAGAGAACAAAAGCAAAAGTGTTTTCCCTTGTATTTTCTCTTCATCTTATTCTCCATATTCCTTTATCTCCATCTTTTCTCTTTCTATCCCAGGCTCCATCTTTCTCCTCCTCTTCGTTTTCATCTTTGCCCTTCACCCATACCTTCCACCATCTCTTTTTCCTCTTGTCGTCCTCTGTCTTGTACTTGAGTCTCCTCACAGGGTCAGTGGCACTGCGCATATTTAGGTTGTCGAAATCCTCGTTGAGCATGAAGCTCCTCTCAATGACCTCCGCTGATTCCTGCCAGTCTCTGAAACAGTCGATACCGTAACGACAGATGTCCTGCACAGCATTCGGAGAGAGTACGGAGCCATCAGGGCGAAGGACCACGACTGTTGGTACGCTCTTCACCTTAAACATGGCCTTCAGCTCACTGACAAAGAGAAAAACACACACACAGCTACCTTAATGCACTATTTGACTTTAGAAAACCTACACTTTAACATGTTAAACATACAAATACAGAAACATTGAAACTACAGAGGCGCTCTTTTCTCTCCACTTACTTCCTGTATGGATCCTCAAAGGCCAAGAACAGAACCTTTTTGTGCAGCTCATTGAGGAATCTCTCCTGCTGCGCCTCAGATTTGTCTAAGCTGGAGAGAGGAGATGGAAATGGAAATTACATAAAAGATAAAACAGTGTGAATGGGAGTCCATGCGAACACATGGGGTCATCAAAGAGACAGAAAGAAGTCAAGATAGAGACCTGATGTAGACAAGTGCAAGCAGTTTGGGGTATTCAATGTACGCTGGATCTTTGAGTCTCTTAAAAAAGTCATTCAGTACAGGGAGGAACTCCTGGCAGTTTTCACACTCGGAGGATGCGAAGAACAGCATTAGGATTCTGTTTTCGAGGATCCCGACAATCTCTCGCTCTGTGTTGAGCTCATCCTGGTCCGTGTTGTTCTCGACCAATACTCGGTTTAGGAACAGGTCCACCATGATGGAAAAGATGGTGCAGGTGTTCTGTGTAGAAGAAACGGTGACATACAGATTTGAATATTTGGGAATATAAATCATGCTTAGTGCCTGTTTCCATGCCAACTCTATCTGAAAAAAAGGTAGTCTAACACTGGAGATCATTATTCGATCATCTGAGATTTTCAGTGCAGCCTCAGGAGTAACTAGTGATTTCACAGTGACTTTCAACATCCCACAGAGGAGTGTGAAGCACACAGCTGATCTATGTACTGAGAGGAAAAGTAGCAATAGTACTGTAGCAGAAAGATACTTTTTTCCCATACTGTGAAGGCACTAATAATGCTGCAATGCACACCCCAAGGCATTAAATATTCATGATTTAAAGAGACAAAATAAGAATCAAAGTTTGGAGAAAAAACACTGTTACTAATTCAGA